GTACCTGCCTGGCAAAGGTGGTAGCGTTGTATACCCGTGTTTTCAATGCCCCTAAAGTCCCTGGCAGTCAGCCCAGTTGGGAATGCATTGTTGCGGAAGTATGATGTGAGAGGTGATACTGGGTGGGAGAATGAGTACCTGTGGGCTGTAGAGTCCCATATCCTGATTGAGTTCAAAATTGCTGGGCAGCGGATCGCTGGTTTATCAGCTTTAGGAACCTAAATTCAGAATTGTGGGAGATCTGTGCTCATGAGTAGTGTTTCTAAATCAACCCATCTGTGGGTTTCTGGTGGTGAGTGCCATTCTATGATTTGTGCCAGTTGTGCCGACAAGTAGTAGAGGTGGAGGTTGGGTAGTCCCAGTCCTCCCTTGCATTATTAAACTACCTTAACTCTTTGGACAATGGGCAGATTGACCTAAGATGGACGACTATTAAATTAGCATCCCTTGTAGCTTTAGCTCTGGCGGCTAGAAGCTCAGAATTAACACAGATAAATATTGTCAAACCATGGTTGTCTCGAACGCCAGGGGGATTTCATGTCATCCTTAAAGGGAGACAGAATTCTTCCCATTTTTTTCCAGGTCCTGTAGAACTAGATTTGGTGCAGGATTCTGCCGAACCAGGTTTATGTTTAGTTAATTTGTTAAACTCATACTTAAATCTTTCTAGACTATGCAATTATTTATCAGGAAACCTTTTTTGGGCCAGCTAAGGTTAACACAATCAGGAGTTGGATACTGTCTGTTATGTCTGCAGCGGGTCTTGTTGTGACGGTTTTTAAGGGTCATTCCATCAGAGGGGCTTGAGCTTCAAAATCAGCAGCAAGAGGCCTTCCTCTTCCTATTATCCTTAAAGACTTTTGTTAAGTTTTACTGGAGAACATCTGAAGTTGAACAGTTTCTTAGGACCACCACCAGGTGTGTGTGTTTTCTTCGCTTTATAAATATTTTGCTCTTTTCACAGATTACAACCGGCTTCTCAGACAGGCTCAACGAGCCAAGGACCCTCCTAAATAGTTGTTCTGGAGGTTAAGAAAATCCTTTCTGCAGTTCTTTTTTCATGAGTTATCCCAATATTTCTCACAGAGACTGTTTGCCTTTTCACTTTTATGATCCAGGATTGTTTTGTTACATTTTCGCATGTTACTATTAACTGTGAGTACTCGAGAAATGTTTCTTATCACTGTGTTTCTATAACCTTTACATAGGTGTAATTTCTTGTTAAGTTGGGAAAATAAAACATTGTTACCCCCTCTATATTGACATTAGTGACTCTTTTCCTTTTTAGTATTTACTAGTACTTTGTGTGTTTTTTGTACATTGATTTCTACCCTACATTAGGGGGTTCTTTGTCTCTGGATGAGTTAACCATCCGCAGTGTCCCGATTTTAAAATCTAAGGTGATCAGGGCTGCCGCGAGCTGCATGGCTGTCCTGATCACCTGATTGGCTGGAAACGCTGTTGCTGTACAGGAGCACAGCACAAGCATTTTTAGCGCAGCAAAATATTTCACCGGGAGGCTACTACATACCCACTAGCTTAGCTAGGTGGTTATGTTTATCCCTAGGACAAAGTGTGTAAATGGCCTTTTATTTTTCTCATATGTTTAACTAGTTAACTAACTGGGGAGCTCATATGCCTTCTGTTATTTTTCATGAGTTCTTAAAAGTTTGAGAAGGGTCTTTGCTTCTATTTTCAGTCCCCATTTGTTTGTCATGTATTTGCTGTTTTTAGATTCCCCCCCTTGTATACTTGTAAAGTGTTGCAGAATATATTGCATTATATAGATGATGACACTACTAAAAATATATTTCAATATAGAAAGCATGAAAACTAGACAAATAAAGAGGTTTCCCATGTTTCCCTTGCAATTGCTGGCTACTGACTTAAACTGTAAAACAATCATACTGCAGCCACTTTCATTACACTAGATAAGATGTTTGCTTTCAAAACACTCTTGTTAATTCAGGCAGTTTGATAAAAACGCAATACAAATACGGTTGTTACAAAGCAAGCACTGTTCATCTAGGTGTGGGCCACTTAAACATACTCATAACATTTAAGCAACAAAAGGTAAGTTCCTGAATCATCAAAGCATGATAACACGGTTTATGTGCATAACCAGTTTAGATGAAATTCCTGTGATTTTTAAAGTGTTATGTTATCATAAGGAAACTATATAAAATGGTGAGAATTCACTTTTAAGACAAGAGGCGTAAATCCTGTAAATCCTGTATTCTATTCCACTGTGGGATCTGACACCAGTTCACATTTGACAGTGAAAAATATGAAGAAGAATCTTACTATGCAGATTGAAAAATACTTTCATTAAAGTTGTCTTTGCTTGCTGTAATCCACACACCAAAGTAAAATAATTTATAAATATTCCACAAATATTATACAGTTTTAGGGAGTATATAACAAGCTGTATAATTATAAGTTTATACGCACTAAGAGGTCAATGTCCTGAAAATGTGCTCAGTAGCTGACGGAAGCTGATTGGGAGCAGTGGGTACAGCAGCTGTAAAACATGTATACTGTCATTGACACAGAGTTCTGCAGCATGTAATAGCTGTCTGCATGCTATAGCCAGCCAGAGGAATCATCACATGATTATTTACTAAAGTGAGAATTGTCAGGAATTTAAAGTGAATTTTAAATAAAAGGCAGAAGTATCTGAATTGGAAAGAAAATACCCAAGCCCGCTATGCTTTAAGTTCAGCTACCTCGGTCTAAATGTGCTTTGAATTCACTTTGAATTCTTGACGCCTCAGGATTTAGTGAATAAACCTGTCAATGTATGTTAGAGAAGGTATTTTTGTATACCTACACACACTTGCATGGCAGATTTGTGTTGAAGGTGTTTGTTTATTGTTCACTTAAATGGTTTCAGAAATTATCTGCGGTCTGCATTGTTAACCAGTGAACAAACAGTGTTCTAAGACATTAGTAAAATGATTTAGGGACTGACATAAGCCTAAAGGGAAACTATAAGAGACAAACAAAGTTGTTTTCCTGGCACTATAGCTCCCTATAGTGTCTTTCTCCCTCCCCGAGGTTAAAAACAACTTCTGCCACTTACCTCAGTCCCTTGGCACTGGCTCAGGTCCTATTCTGCTCCTCCCCCATGATGTCAGCCAGCGGGGGAGACCTTATGCGCATGCAAGGCACATGGCCACGCTCGCTTTACTATTTACCCCATAGAAAAGCATTATTAAATGCTTTCCTATGGGGATTTGGGTGACTCTGGTTGTTCTCATGCAAAGTCGCCTGACAACCCGGAAGTCCCTTTAGTGGCTGTCTGGTAGACAGCCACTAGAGGTGGAGTTCACGCATAAAGGTAGTTATTGCAGTTAATTAATAACTGCGATAATTACCTTTGCTGGGGTAAGGGATCTGGGATAGTGCTTAATGAGCTGAAGTGGTCTGAGTGCCTATAGTGTCCCTTTAATTACTGATTCTCAGTATTTAATGAGAAAGAATTGAATTCCTAAAGTAAGGAATCAAAGTGAATTTAAGGTGAATTTCAAAATTACAACCAAAGTAGCCAAACTGGAAGCATGGGTGATTTAAATATGTTTTCAGTTTATATTTTAAACATAAAATTGAAATTCAGGACTTTTAAGAACAGTTAAATCAGAAATATGCCAATGTGAGATTGAGTTCTCCCATCTCCATCACAGTCAGGACTTGCCAATTCCAAATCAGTCAATTTGTCAAAACTTAGGGGGTCAGGTGAACCAGGTTCATTAACATTAAAGGGACACTATAGGTGCCAAAACAACTTTAGCTTAATGAAGCAGTTTTGGTGTATAGATCATACATCTGCAGTCTTTTAATTGCTCAATTATCTGCCATTTAGGAATGAAATCACTTTTTTTTAGCAAGAAACATGTATTCCTGACCATACAGTGTTGAAAACACAATTTAGGTGCCCAGCCTATTCTTTTCCCCCTTAAATGGAGTATAAACTCACTTTTATTTCAGCATTGGGTGGTTTTTTTTCGGCGCTGGCTGTGCCCACACTCATCTTCCTTGGCTGAGATCATCAATCAAATTTCAATGTATAAAAACTGAAAAGGAGAAAGCCCTAAATTTGATACTAAAAGATTCCAAAACCCCATAAGACATTTAAAAGGGAGGTACTGTTATAAATGTGAGACCTTGCTGAATACAAACATGTGTATTTTATTGCTGTAAAAGCAGTATTATGACATTCACAGTTAAAATGACATGCAGAACTAAGAATATAACAACTTTCTTAATTGCTCACTTGAGCCATTGCAATGAGAACTTATACCATGTGCATATCAGACTGATACCACCCATAAAGGCAGTCCAGAAGCAAAATGCTGGCAAGTTCCCACTGCACAAGAGATACAGCAACCACGCACAATTGTTTTGACCTTCTTTGTGCCTTGTTAGCGATATCCTAAGCAAATTGATTGCAACAAAAAGAGGATGTGAGAACCCTGTGAGTGGGCAAAAGCTTAGAGACACTCAGGAGCTAGCTTTCCATTTAGTCACCGCTCTCAAAAATGTGTTTTCTCACTTGTGCCATAAGAAAGAGAACCTAGAACATTTGAATATCAGACTGATCATTACCAAAAATGCAGTCCAGAACCAAAATGATGGCAAGTTCCCTCCTCATGAGAGATGCAGCAACCCGGACAAGCATTTTGGCCTTCATTGGGCCTCATCAGCAAGGTGTAGCTGAACGTAGAGCCTAAGCAAATTGTTTTCAACAAAAACAGAGAATATGAAAACTCTGCAAAAGGGCAGAAGCTCAGATAAACTCAGAAGCTTGGTCTTTGGTTAGTCACCACTCAGATCTCAAAATTGTTTTGTTCACTTGTTCCATTATGAAGAGAATCTATACCATTTGCATATCAAATGGATCCCTCGTATATAAGCAGTATGGAACCAAAATGCCAGCAAGTTCACTCTGCATGAGCACAGTGAGCATGGGGTCCACGTTTGGATTATCCTTTTAACTAAAGGAGAGAACATGAGAACTCTATGGATGGGCAAAAGCTTCGAGAAACTCCATAGCTTGCCCTTCGGTAAATCCCTGTGCAGGTCTTGAAAATTGTATAGGTCACTCTATAATAGCACAAGTAAGTAAAACCTATAGTCTGAGACCTGAGCAAAATTTCTGTAAGCCTTTTCCCATTCTCAGGGTAAAAAAGTAACTCAGACGTGGACACCCTGCTCACTATGCTTAAGGAGGTATCACAGTGGTTCCCAATCTTTT